GGTACGCTCTCCCATTTTTCATTATCACCTTCCTAGTCTTTTGGGGAAGGGTACTTGTTCCCTACTGCTGGTGTCAATGATCCTGTTTCTATGTTTCTAAAGACACTATTCATATGTGGCTCTGTGGCACTCAGCATAATATGGGCTGCACCCTGGTCCCATGACTGCATTAGCCAAGAGTTCGCCCAACTTCTGCTTAAAGCATGAACCCAAATCCTGCAATTCGGACATCGAGGAATCACTCACTATTCTCGAATTTTTTTGGGTTCTGTCCTCCTACCTGTTTTGCCTTAATTGTTATTAGGAGTTGTGCTATTAGTCCCTTCTCTGAGGATGGCTCTGGAGGTGGAGCATCCCCTTCCCTGTCCGTCCATTGAGACTTTGAGTCAGATGAATACCAAATGTCTCCAAACCAATGGCAGGGGTCCCATTCTGAGGTTAATAACGCATACACTTTGACTGGGTCAACTTTCCAATTGCGCCGTTTTGCTCTCTTTTTCTGTTGTAGCGTCACCATACAGCATACAATCTGATTCTGTTTCTCCTCTGCCTTCTCAGATCTTTCGTGCACTGTCTTAACTGCTTTTGTTAGGATAACGTTACGCTGTTCTACCACCCTCAGTGCGGTCTCAAGCTGCCTGTTTTTGGTCTGGCACTCTTCCAATTCCCTACATGTAGAACACAAAGCTGTTAACAATATCCATTCCATTTGCAGTACCCTGTCCTTGCTTTTGGGAAAGCCGGCTTCCTGCAAGTATTCATGTGTAGCAGCCTATATGAATAACCCTCCTTTCTTTTTCCAGTTATAACCATCCCCTATTCTTGTGGGGGCCCTAATCATGCTAACAAATTAGCCAGAGACCCAAATCCAGAGTCTGCCACATTCCATCCCAATATACAGAAGTCTCCAGTGCATCAGGTTGCCTTTCCCTTCTCTTGAATATTTTCCTGAATCCCGTTCCTCATCACTAAAAATGTCTTGGATTACAGTGTGTACCCAAGCAGTTCTTTACAGATTTGGGTAAATATAATTAAGAGAAGGCTCATCTAACAGCAATTTGCTTGAATATGAATGTTTATGAAGTAATAATAAATGATAATAATGGTAATAATAAATGGAACAGAAAAGAGAAAGAGCCACAAGTCTCACACCTCACTAGAGAAAGCAACAAGTTTAACGCCATTCTGCCTGTCGGGGGCCCTTCGATGGCTGGTCTGGAGGCTTAGGTTTGTTCCTGGCACCGTACATGATTCCTAGCCGAGGCAAAGTCCCGTACCTTGGAATGAAACTTTCTCTCTCTTATACAGTGTAACAAACAGCCAGCACAACGAAAGCAGACACAGAAGACAAAACACAATTACGGAAAAACAAGTTGCAGGTGCCGTCTTGGGGGGACCCATAAAGGAATGTTAACAGGATTCATCCAAGGTCATGTAGCTTGTGGAGTATCATCAACAATTTTAGCCATTCAGTCCATCCTGTGCAATCTATCTTCTCATGCAACTGTCGATTTTCATCATTAACTTCTAGTCCTTTGGCCCATCCTATACACTCCACCATATGCCATCAATGCACATCCCCAATCTACATACAATAGGCTTTTGCACTACAGTGCTGCACTCTGGAGCATGACACCACTCTCCTTGCAGCAATATTGCACTGATACTGCATGCAGGGACAGGCACCTTGCTCACAGATTAGACCAGAATGCATTTAAGGGCCACTCGCTTACTCTTTTAGCATTCACTCATTTAGCACCTATCTAGATTTTCACAGTTTCTGTACCTTGTGTTGCCTTTCCTAGTTGCATTTTGTCCCTTTACCTGGAGCTTAAAGGGTTACAATAATGCTGAATTGCCTAGTAATTTAGCACAGACATAAAGCTAAACAGCTTGTCATGATGGTCAGCAGTCATCAGTCAAGTGGGTGAACAGCTTACAGTACGGCAGATTGCTATATCAACCACATATCTACACCTTACACACAAAAACACTGAATGTGCTGCAAGCGAATGGCCATGTCTCAAAGTCTAAGGGGAGTAGTTCTCAGTAAAATCCAGGGAAACACCAGTTAATGAATAGCTCCCACCACAGTAAGTCAAGGGCACTCTCTGGCATCAGTTCAGGGGCTTGGGCATGCTCAATCAGAATTCTCTCCTCATGGCCTATGTTAGGTACTGATTACTAGGTATGGCTTTCTGCCTATTGTACACCATTTTCTCTAAAAGTGTGGTGAGGTGTTGCAAATCAGTGAGTAGGCAACACAGAAATTATGCAGAGTTAGTAGTGTGGGTTATCGGTTGGGTGGGAACAAGTGAAGAATGATGCTGCAAATAAGAACGATGCAATATGAACTTTAGTGGGAGGTGAGTGTAGTTACAGAGAAAAGTAGGGAGTACTTACCTTGGAAAAGCAGACATGGTCAACGATCTTATTCCTACACTGTTCGGCATACCTGCAAATGGTGGGGACCTCACTAACCTGGCTGGCAATTTTGAACTAAGTTGGCAGGGTCTTATTTTGTGGACTCCTCTGCCAGTCCTGGGGAATGAGCCTTCCTCTACATCAAAATGTCCACCAGGACCTCCAGGTTCCTATCCGCAAACCAGGTGCTGCTTTACCCTTTACTGCAGTATTCAGCTTAAATGTCACTGACCATGCAGGGCAGCTCAGTATTGACAGTGCTTGACTGGATGCACAGAGCCTTTTAAAAATAGCGCAGGTGCCAAGAATCCTGGGGTATCCTGGCAGTGATGAATACTTCCATATACAGTGAATGGGAGAATTGGGCTAGCATTAGATGATAGGGGCACTAGAGGAGTGCAGTTGGTCGTTAGTAAGGCAAATTTCAGACAACAGCACAAAAAACCCTATAGGTTACACAGAAAGAAGTCCTCTATGAAACTCAAGAAAAATGATATTCTGCCAAAATATGGTAAGATTCAGCACACTGTCTTCATAGATGTCCTGAAACTGATAGCACAAAAGATCAATCCTCCCATGCTTTTGGTCATCTTACAGCTGAGGAGGAATCTGTAGTATAAAATCAATTAGCAGCAACTAATGGCTGTGATCCAACCTGCAGAGGCATAATTTCCAGGGCAACCGGGTCATGTCAAAGACGGGCCTTGGCCAGAAACCATGTTTACAGGCTTTGAGGCAACAAATGCAAATATGTGACAGGCAATGCTGCAAACACGTCAGGACATCCCAGGATGTTGCATTCTACAGCTGCCATTTGCTAGATAAGTAACTGCATCTGCAAGGACTTGTAGGCAATCCCATTCCAGCTGTTTTCAACTTTCATGTGAATGGATCATTTCAAAGAATCGCTCGGGAATTCTGTGGAATTTCGTAAGTGTCCACTCATAAATGCAAACTGGAGCTTACCAATGCTAACAGGATAATTAAAAAAGATACTTCTTAAAAAAAGTTATATAGATCAGCTCCTGAATTGTTTGTGAATAGTAGGTAGTCTCTACTGCAACAGCTGTAAAGTTGAACTATCTGTAGGGTTGACATTTGTTGTTGGACAATTGGCATCACAATCCTTAGTTTTATATATTGGTTGAAATTTTGTAGTTCTGATCTCTTTTGATCATGACTGAATTCTAGCATTCAGTGTGTGAGAAAGTTTTGAACTATTAGATCTGTTCTGAATCAATCCCATCTAGCAGTGATTGAATATACTCTCCAAAATATTCTGTGTGAAGAGAGAATTTCAACTTCTCAAGGACTCTGCAGCAGTCACTCAACTGGAGTGGACAAAGTCACTGATGCCATAATTCTCTAACTCTCTCTACAACCTCTGCACTATTGAAAACAAACTCAACCCCATAGACACTGACCTGGGTGAACGACATTGTTCCCAAGCTAAGCATTCTACTTTCCCAAGCTGTGCTTCTATTAGTCAAATACTTTCTGACTGGTCTCCCATTTTTCATTCTAAACTTAATTTCATACAAAACAATGTGGAAATGGTAGCAACAGGCAGGCAAAGTTTCATATCGTGATTTGTGCTGGTTTGGTATCACACTCTGCGATACATTTAATTCTGAGTAACTTAGGAGTCTGAACACAAAGTATTCTTTTAGTCAACCCCCTCCGTCATCCATGGAATTACAATAAATTCTGTTTTTATTTGTAATTTCAATAAATAAAGAAAAAAAAAGTGATGAGTGTTGCAAATCTTTCTTGTGAGAACACTTCTCTTGACATACAGTTTTTTTTAAAGCAAGTCATTAGTAAAGTTAAGGAATTTTATTGTGATAGGAATTGAAATGCAAAAGTAGGGAGGTTATAGTTCTAGATTTGCAAATCCTCAGTGAAGCTCCTGAAAATGAGGGGCATTGGTGAGACCATATCTGGATAATTGTGTGCAGTATTGGTCTCCTTCTTTAAAGAATTATGTACATGCATTGGAAATGGTCCAGAAGAGTTTAACTAGACTACTAAATTGGAATAAGCAGGTTGTCTAATGAGGAAAGGTTGGACAAGCTTGACTGGTCGTCTCTGGAATTCCAAAGAGTAAGAGACAACTTGACTGAAGTATATAAGATCCTGAGGGTGACAGGATAGATGTGGAAATCATGTTTTCTCTTGTGGAACAATCAGAACTAGGGGTCACTGTTGAAAAATAAAGGGCTAACCGTTTAAGACAGTGATGAGACAATTTTTTTCTCACATGGGGTTGAGTGTCTTTGGAAGTACCACTTCCTCAAAAAGCAGTGGAAATGGTCTTTGAATAATGTTAAAGCACAAGAGAGATAAATTCTATAATCAATAGGATGAAAGATTATTTGAATCAGGCTGTAATGTGGAGTAATCCATTCAGCCATTCCCTGAGGGGCCAAATGGCCTACTACTGTTCCTTGTTTATACATTTGTATTAATCTTACAGTTTCTGACTCACAAGAACTGTCTGAAAAAAATTAACCGTAAAAATAAAAAATAGCAGCTACTTAACATGAACATTCTACCAATAGCATTTCACTACTTACAAGCATAAAGATAAGTCCTCGGTAAGGGTTGAGGGGCAATCCATGTAAATGAATTAAAAATTCTAGTCTGTAGTCACAGTATGTACTTGTATCAATTCCCCTGAAAGAAAATTACAACCAATTTCATTCTGTAAAGCCCAAGGGTATGCATAATATGACAAATGGTTATTGTTGTCATATACAGGGGGCTAAAAACAATTATAAGACTGAATGGTCTCAAGCATTATTTGGATACTATCAATTGGGGATATTTGAGATTGGTATCCAATTTGTCAGATCATTTTATTAATGAAAAATTTAAAAAAAATTCTAGATGTTGAAAATCTAGTAGAATAAATTAGAAAATGCTGGATCTATTCAGCAGGTCTAGCAGTTCCTATGACATTTTTTTTTAAAAAGTTTACCTCTTTGGTATGGACCTGTGAACAAAACTGCAGGATTCTGGACTTTAACAAAGGGGAGAAGAGAACACACAAGCATGAATGAAATAAAATCATATGTAAAGTGCTGAAGTAGCATTTATTCAGCATCATGATTAAACGACAGGTGTGGTGATAGCATAATATAATCAGAAGAATAATGGGGGATATCGCCATGATGGAAACCTTCTCAGTTCAGGTAACAGAGAGGTACTCTGCCCCCAGATTTCCTGTAAAAGCTGGTCTCAGCAACTGGGCTATTGCTTCGGAGGAGCAGTCATGGAAGGATGGCCTGTGACCACAGCTGTGCCCTAACAGGCAAGAAGACTGTCTTCAGTCTCACACGGCTAATGGGCCTTGCAGGAATATTGCTAAAGTTCCTCGCTGCCACCCTTGACAAAGAGCTACTATAATATTAAGGTCAATCACTCTCAGATTAGCTTTGAAATTTAGCTCTTCTGGCCATGTTTGGATCAAGACTGTAATGAGATCTTGAGCTAAATGTTCCTAGTAGAACTCAAACTGAGCATTGGTGAGACAGTTCCACCTAACAGCACCACTAACAATACCCTTTGTCAGTATACTAACAAATGAAAGTAAAATAAGGGAGAAGTAATTGGCCAGATTGTGGAATAACTCCACAGAGGCCACTGTTCTCAAGTCACCCTTCATTTACACATGAACGGTCCTTGACTTTAATACTGCCTCATTCAGAGTCAGGTACCAGACTGTCAGTATCTCTAAAATTCAGCCTTTTTATATGTCCACCAAGGCTCCTTGATTGAACCAGATTACCAGCCCCAATTAGGGAACTCATATTCTATGAGTCCAGCTGGCTGGCCTCACTACTATCACACATCCCCCCTTCTCTGAGTCTGCGGCCATAGGCTGGTCCTTTCTCTTGGTGAGACATCTGGGGTGTTTTCACACCAGGTCAGGTTCCTACAACTCGGCATCTGATATGGGTGCAGTGCATGGGAGTTTGCGTCTTCTGCCAGGAGTGCCTTGGTAGAATTTAACTTTCTTCTTCTGATGTCAAAATTGTTGAGGTGGCTACATTACTCATGATCATCTCTGATTCTGAGGACTCGACCACACTTGATGCAGAGGGTGAACCTATGGGTTCCAGCAGCTTTCCCAACTGTTCCAAAGGGCAGGGCACATTTTGCTTCCTCACTGTTTGTGAATTCATTGCTGCTTTCAGATGGTCCACATGATTGTTCAGGACTGTCACACTTGCCTGAACTTTATACATCACTGGTCTGACCTTGTGACGGCCATGTGAGGCTATTTTCATGATTCTTACGCCAAACTTTGTCCGCTTTATCAAACTGTCTCTCTCACTTAGCGGAGTCTTGTGTCCGGCATTGGCATTCCTGTTGCCATTTCATTCTTCCGACCAGGTTCAGTAGATCAGACTTAACCATGTGCGGAGTCTTCTACACATTAGCAACTCTGCCGGTGCTATCCACGTAGGTGCATGGGGGGTGAACCTATAATGAAATAAGAAATATGACATCTTGGTGAGGCTGTAGGCTGTTTCTTCAAGACAGCCTTCAAAGTTTGGACTGCTCATTCTGCAAGGTCGTTGGATAGGGCATGGATACGGAGGTGTTCTTATATGTCAAATCCCATTCAACTTTCAGAAATAACCAAATTCCCTGCTCGTAAATTACCTGCCCAATAATTTGGACCAAAACTTCCGGGACTCTGTGTGTTGTAAAAGATGTGCGCAGATTTTCTATCATTGATCCTGTGTTGACGAGTGGACCTTATACACTTCCAACCACTGTGAGCTGGCATCAATAATGACTAAGAACATTGAACTCATGAAAAGACTTGTATAATCGACATGCTATCGAGTTCAAGGTTTACATGGCCATTCCCACTGATGTGCAGGAGCTGCTGGCGATAAATTTTGTCCTTGTTGACACTTTGGATACTGCCCCACCAACATGGCTGTGTCTACATCCAAGCCTAGCTATCAGACACAACTTCTCTCCAACATCTTCATTTTGGAGACACCTGGATGGTCCTGGTGGAATTCAGCTAGTATTTGGCAGCAACCATTGCTCAGGACAATCACTTTTGCTCTCCATAACAATATGAAGTCCTCTACTGTGAGCTGGTCTCTCCGGGTCTAAAAAAGATTTCAATTCGAGTTAGGACAGTGCTTTGGCTTCCCCCATTACTAACTGTTTCAGTTTTGAAAGGACTGGATCTTTCTGCGTCTGAGGTATAATATGGTCAGCTGTGACTGGGAACATGTTCAGAAAATTTAATATCATTATAGACTCTTTGACTGGGGGTACCACTGATGGTGTATCTGCCAATGGGAGGTGGATCAATGCATCTGCTACTCAGCCTCCTGGATCGTATTCTATCTTGTAATTATAAGCACTTAGTATTAAAGTCCACCACTGAATGCGGCCCAAAGCATTGTAATGCCCTCCTTAAGCAGACCAATTAGGGGTTTGTTCACAAATTTTCGTCAATAAAGTATTGGTGAAATTTCCTGACTCCAAATATGACTGCCTATACTTCTTTCAGTAGTTGGCAGGATTTTGAAGCTGGCTGTGAAAGCTGCTGCATCTCTCTCTCTCTCTGTTACAGCAAAAAGGTGGAGTTCTCTCTCTTGCTGCTGCCAGAATCACATGTGAGACAATCTATTTTTATGAAATTGCCTTTGCTAACGCTGTGTTTATGGGAAGTTACTATACTGAAACAGTTACTGTTTAGTAGTTAAATAATCTATTATCCTGAGATAGTAGGAACTGCCGATGCTGGAGAATCTGGGATAACAAGGTGTAGAGCTGGATGAACACAGCAGGCCAAGCAGCATCAGTGGAGCAGGAAAGCTGACATCTCGGGTCTAGACCCTTCTTCAGAAATGGGGGAGGGGAAGGGGATTCTGAAATAAATAGGGAGAGAGGGGGAGGCGGATAGAAGATGGATAAAGGAGAAGATAGGTGGAGAGGAGACAGACAGGTCAAAGAGGCGGGTTTGGAGCCAGTAAAGGTGAGTGTAGGTGAGGAGTTAGGGAGGGGATAGGCCAGTCCAGAGAGGACAGACAGGTCAAGGAGGCGGGATGGGGCTAGTAGGTAGGAGATGGGGGTGGGGCTTGAGGTGGGAGGAGTGGAACACCTACACTCGGTTCGCACTAAACAACTGCACCTCCCAGTCGCGAACCATTTCAACGCCCCCTCCCACTCCTTGGACGACATGTCCATCCTGGGCCTCCTGCAGTGCCACAACGATGCCACCCGAAGGTTGCAGGAACAGCATCTCATATTTCGCTTGGGAACCCTGCAGCCCAATGGTATCAATGTGGACTTCACAAGCTTCAAAATCTCCCCTCCCCCAACTGCATCCCAAAACCAGTCCAGCTTGTCCCCGCCTCCCTAACCTGTCCTTCGTCCCACCTATCCCCTCCTCCCACCTCAAGCCCCACCCCCATCTTCTACCTACTAGCCTCATCCCGCCTTCTTGACCTGTCTGTTCTGCCTGGACCGGCCTAATCTATTATCCTATTAAGTTTTCCAATAGAGTTAAAGTTATACCAATCCGTTTTTCTTTTGTTTGTATTTTAACTGTATGGTAAGAATAAACTGTGTTTCGCTTAAAGCCTAGGAGCGTGACCAATCGAATTACATTTGGAACGCAGCACCTTACACTTACCTTTAAACAAGATAAAAGTTAGGGTCTAGGCTATCACCTTGACGTACTTGAAGGGGGCCGAGTTTGGTCCATAACGCTCCTGGATAGACGTGGGAGTCGGGGCACCATTGATCATCCTCACTTTATCTCCCAACAGGTGTTACCTGGACTTGTCGACTCTGAAGCCCAATTAAGTCACGTGGGGGGCCTGGAAACATATTTTCCCTTCTTTGCACACAGCTGCCTTAGAAAAATACCTTAGAACCATATCCAAGTTCTTTAAGTGTTCCTTATTAGTCTCCCCTGTTATTAGGACATCATCTAGAGTAATGGCAACCTGAGGTAGACCTTTACAAAATGTTCTCCATCATCTGCTGAAAAATTGGTCAGGCTGACAATACTCCAAATGGCAGTCCTGTATATTGGTACAAGCCTTTTTGGATATTAATTGGAGCACACTTCTGGGAATCCTGGTCTAAATCCAATTGCAACTACGTGTGGCCAGCTTCGTGAATGACACCCCGTCAGCTCTGCGTATGAATCCTCTATCCAAGAGATTTGGTATTTGTCCAGCTAAAAAGCAGTTTACTGTTTGTTTAAAATCCCCACAAAGGCAAACCAACCAGTTGGGCTTCAAAATCAATAAGACCATAGGACCATAAGACCATAAGACATAGGAGCAGAAATTAGGCCATTCAGCCCATCGAGTCTGCTCCGCCATTCAATCATGGCTGATAAGTTCCTCAACCCCATTTTCCTTCTTTCTTCCCATAACTCTTGATCCCCTTGACAATCAAGAATCTATCTATCTCCATCTTAAATATACTCAATGACCTGGCATCCACAGCCTTCTGTGGCAGTGAATTCCATAGATTCACCACACTCCGGCTGAAGAAGTTTCTCCTTATTGCTGATCTAAAAAGGTCTTCCCTTTACTCTAAGTCTGTGCCCTCGGGTCCTAGTCTCTCCTACCAATGGAAACATCTTCCCAACATCCATTCTGTCCAGGCCATTCAGTATTCCG